AAGCAGAAAACAATACCCCTATCAAGGAACTACCAAGAAGAAAACCACACCCCCACCAACACTGGCAGGGCAAACTACTGTATATAAACAGGGGGCTTACCCCACACTCACTGTGTACTAAATGTAAGGAAAAATAAAGAATATCATTAAAGCATGTTGTATTTCAATATTCCTTTCAAAAAGAAACAGCCAGGACTCTTCCATGTGTTTCAAAATGTGTTCTTGAAACATCTAAGGCAGTGTTTCTCAAACCTGGCAACTTTAAGATGTGCGGACTTCAACTCCCAGACTTCCCACCCCCATCTTAAAGTTGCCAAGTTGAGATCTAAGGGCTCTTGAATAGCCATCTTCAACCTGGTGGCCTTGATCTTCTACGCCCAGAATTCATGGCCGTCGCAGAACAGCTGCACCTGTTCTGGAGAGTTCTACGGAAGCGGAATGCCCCACCATGGCCCCCATTGTGTGGTCTGGAGATGTCATGTTCTGGAATAAGGAACACAAGCCAAGAATGGGTAGCCAAAGCCTGTGTGTGGCCTTGGCCATGGTTCTGCTTCTTGAGCCTGGCCTTTCTCCAGCTTGCTTGCAGTGCGACCCCAATTTCGCCAAGCACTTTGCCTCTTATGCCCCGCACTTGAGCCGCAAGTCCTGGGGGCTTGGGGACGTGCCAGCTGCAGGTCGAAGGCTGCGGGGCTGGGTTCAAGATACTCTTCAGGACTTGCACCTCGGGGTCGCTCCCGAGATCCGTGAGTTGTCTCCCAGGCAGGGCCCTGCCCAAATATCCATTTCTTCTGGGCTTCAGGCAAGGCTCAGTCTGAGATCCTCCAAACCAACATATACAGTAACTGGGGTTGCCAACTCGTTCTGGCTCATAAGAGCAGATTACTTGGTCCTTGCCTTCTCTTATGATCTCTGTCTCCAATGTGGTGGCCTAGTCAAAAAGGATGCTACACCAGTTGGATTTCTGCTTGTTGCAAGCTACTTAAGATATAACAAATCAGCTTAGTAAGTGGGAATGGGGGGTTCTACGCACTGCTGACAGTTCAAGCTCTGGGGCTATTTCCAAACCTGGAATGTAATGCAGAATGCTGAAATAATTTGCCTTCTGCCTCTATAAAACAAGAGGCCCTTTAACAGAGCAACAGTTCAGCTTGTGGAAGTCACTGGCACAAGAATTAGTCCCCAGAATTTGAAGAAAAGAAATGTTTCAAACGTGCTGCCACTTTATCAATCCCTGACTTGACTTCAGATACCCTCCCAAGAAACCTCAATGGAGCTGGGTCAGATGTTTATATTCCTCTCTCTTGCTTTCTCCCCTCTCCCAGCTATGGGGGAGCTGCAGGTCATAGCAACTACGGTGTATGGAAAACTTGACACGTTGTTCAGAGACAACACGTACAAGCCTGGTAAATATGCAGAGACAGATTTGTACTCTTCATAATCATTTTTTTGCCTTCATTGTGGATGAACTACTTTTGGTATATTTAGTCACCAGATAGATGCACTTGGTTTGGTATGAAAACTCCTTAACTCACCTTTGCTGTCCCTGCCAACTTACTCCTGCTCCCCTCCTGTCTGTGTGTATTAACTTTAAGCTCAATTTCTGTTTACCTCTTGTCTTCCTGGGTTTGCAAGATACACAGAACCGCAAACTAGCATCTTGTGCAAATTCAGTCCACGAGGTTAGTTGATGGGTAAATCTAAGGAGTGTCAAGTCAGTGTTGATTCCTGGCGGCTGCCTAGACCAGTCCCTGCAGTTTTCTTGGCAAGGTTTTTCAGAAGTGGCTTGCCATTGCCTCTTTCCCAGGGCTGAGAGAGAGTGACTGGCCTAAGGTCACCCAGCTGGCTTTGTGCCTAAGGTGGGACTAGAATTCTTGGTCTCCCAGTTTCTAGCCTGGAAATCCAAGTTAATCACAATATTACAGTTAAATTCAAATGGGAAACAACCCCAACATCCTCAAGGGTTGCTAGCTCATAACCTGAGTGTGTAAAGAGTTTGGGATTTTTTCTACCCTGCAGAGTAATTGAATCGTCATGCTACTCAGTACGGAATATAATCTCAGCCATTATCTCTCTAAAACAAGTGGATTTTGTAAATCCAGTTGCTGAAACTGTCCAAATTCTGGGAGAGTTGAG